TTACAATTAAAATAAATAATTTTATTGGTGCCGTTGGAGTTCGAACTCAGATGGCTAACCACAAAATATCATATCAGATATATATAAGATACAAGCTGTGCCCCGCGACTTCGCCCGCGTGGAATTTACTACGATTTCATGGATATAATTTTTTTTGCGCGGAACCATAATTTTGTTTTTGAGTAATGTTTTACCATCGCATAAGTATTGGCAAATATTGACATTAATATTTATACGATACTAACATCACTCAATTGTTTTGCCTTCCCGGAACCCCTCCACTAACACTTTTTGGTATGGTAATAAAGTTCAAATTAACTTTTAAGTATTATTACGAATCTTTTGTATGAGAATATAGAAAAGTGTTGGTTTTAGACTTTTTCAAGCAATTTTTTAAATTTTTCTCTCCGTAAGAACCATTTTCGTACATCAAGGAATATTATAAAAAAAGAATTAGCGAAATCGATTCAGCTGCTCTCGAGATTTGCACTATGCAACACATTCAGCGATTCATTTTTATATTATAGAAGATGAAATAGTAACATTTTTCGACTTTAAAAATTTCTTATAATTAAAAATATTTTCGTAAAGTTTTAAATTGCTTATTTAAAAAAATACAACTATTATTCTGAATATGATTGTCTTTGGTCACTAATTAATTCATAACATTAATAGTAAAATAAACAAACTATAAAATATGTTCCCTTACAGGGCGCACGCCTCTTTTCAATCCTGAATGGGTAATTAAGAAGAGACATGAGTTTGCCACGCATATAATAAGTATTTATGCCAGTCATATATTTTTTCCGTGTAATTGCGATGTAAGTATATCTACTACTCCATATGTTCCCGTAAATGTCGTAAGAGGCAAAAAACTAAAACGAAAGATGTCAGCAGCATCTTCCTGATAGCAACTTGACATAATAAAATCTGCGGTTACTCACCCGCCTACCAAACATGGTATGACGGCTCATAATTATTATTAATAAATAATAATTAAATTCAATATAAACACATTTAAAAATATCATAAAAATTATATTTTAAACAATGAAAATGTATTAATAAGCGTAAAGTTCAAATATATTCATTTCGAATATTGAATATTATAGTATAGTAAAAGCATAATATTGTCTTTAAAAATCTCTAAATTTAGTAAAAACTCTGCTTAAAATATTCAAAATATATTACATTATACAAGTACAAGTTGATTATATTGCAATATTAAAATAAATAACATTTGTAATATAATTTAAAAAAAAAGTTAATGAGTGTGTTTATGTAATGATTGCTTATATGAAGGGCGTTGTATTATATTATAGCAGTAATTATCAATGCAACCACCATACGGATGGCGTCCTCTCACAACACACCGACATCATCATTATCGACTTTGGTAACAACTTTGATAATGTTGTTACCACCAATGTATTATACTAGTACGCTACTAAGACGTCAGTAGCCATAACCCCACGTATCACAACGCTATTGCACTAAGACATGGAGTTGAGTATGCTTGCTGCACTTAAAGGTACTACCAAGCACACTAACCCTAATCCAAAAGATAGCCGATGTATGATAACGCTATGCGCTAAGACGCCGCCCACAAACGGTAGGGGTGTGCGATGTCCACGGGCAAGTCATAATGCTACAACAAATCCGCTTACCACCGGCACTAAGATGATATGTCTAGGACACATCGATTAGCGAGTCCAAGTTTACCTCGATCTCGGATGCTGTGAAGCAATCTACGCCACTATAATAATCCTTTTCAAGTTCCATTTCTTTCAATATAATCCTTTTACATATTTAAGATCTTCCACATATTTTCTTTATTTCATAGACCTTACTATTATATGTCTTATATTTATAAGGGACTTCAAGTCATAACTCTGCTATCATAATGCTTATATATCATAGATACCTTCTATATTAATGCTTTAGTTCCATAGACCTTACTATCATAAGTCCCTAATATATAATACTATACATTGTGCAACAGTACTATGTAGCAGTCGGTCAATAGACCACCCCATATATGTCCCAATTCTTTCAATATAATGCTTTTACATATTAAGAACCTTCCACATTTTTGCTTTATTTCATAGACCTTACTACTCGTATTATATGTCTTATACATATGTGTTGGCGACGCGCCACGAAATACGTGGCCGAGAGGCAAGGTTTATAGAACGCTACCGGGACAAGACGGTCACACTAGTGTGGTTGACGTCATTACTAGCACAGGTATCTTCAGGAAACCTACATCCAGAATAATAGTCCTGGTACCAGCGACGCCTCCCAAATGATGGTGCTGACGCGCAGGGGGGAGATTGTTGGCGACGCGCCTATAAAAGTATTTCAATTTATTAGTTAACCGATTACGAATAGCTTCTAAAGTTAAATTATCAAGCAATAACTGTCTTATAAGAAAACGCTTAGTTAAATCTTAAAGAAATATCGAATTGATAATTTGAAGGTCTTGGGTTCGATTCCCAGGCCGGACTAGTTTGTCGTAATAAATTCATATAGGGAATTTTTAAGATATAATTCATGTTTACGGGTTCAGTTCCCCGGTTGAATTACCTTTCCAATGTTATTTTCAATTTAAAGAAATACTAAAATAAAGTTAGACCAGGATTTGTTCCCTGGTCGAAATTATCACTTTGTGTATAAGTGGAATTAATGTAAATTAATATTACGTTATATTGTCTTATGTAAGTTGAATACATTTTGTATGAAAAATAAAATGTCTATTTTCAATGTTTGATTCATAAAATATTTTCTTTGTGTTACCTGATAAGAACACAATAACTGATAAGAACCTTGATAATTGATAAGAGTCTTGTTGGAATACTACTTTACTGACAGTTGAATGTCGTCTAAAAATCAGTTGTTCACCTAGTATTTGTTGATAGCAGCGCATGCTAAATTTGCAACCTACTTTACCGACAGTGGAAGTCGTGTAGAGAGTAATTGTTCACTTAGTTTCTGATAAGAGCGGCGCGCTAATTTGTAAAATTAAAATTCTAAATAAGTGGAAATTTAAATATTTGTAAATTTCAGCGATTTATGTAAAATTGACTTGTGAAATGTTTCAGGTTGACTGTATGAGCAAAATAGGTGAATTCAGTTCAACAGTTCTTACGTGTAAATTCTCTTATAATAGTGAAATATTGACAGTTTTGTATAAAAAATTTTAAAGTGTCTTAAATAGTAAAATGTGTGAAAAATGTAAATTAAACTATTGTATTAGTTAAGGTATTTGTGTTTTCAAATAAAGAACATTGTTCCAACCTTATATGTTAGACATTTAAGAATTCTAACTTAGTACATATGTTATAAAATAGGCATATTTTGTTGAATAAATAAAAGGTTTTTTGTGATATAAAAATGTAAGGTATATCATAGTATAGATATTTTGTTGTGCTATTTTTATAAATAAAATGTATAAATGTATGTCTTATACAAATAAAGATATTGGGCAAACCGTCGGAGAGTGATAGTACAAATTGATGTAATTGAGTTGCGAAATCGTACAGAGGGCGCAGCTCTCTTTCGAGTAAAGCTTTGTTGATACCCCATTAGAATGGTTTTCATACAAATCGTTCGGGACTAGCTACCAGTATAAATATATTCCACCAAAAACATTCTGTAAAAAACTAGCCAAGTCTCGATGGAGCTGCTTGTTTATCTCTAAAAAGTAATGAAATCTAGGCAAAGTCGTGCCAAGTCTAAGGTTCCTTACTGCGATTTCTTTATTATTATAGTTAATGTTGTGTGACTTGGCCGTTGAAGGGTACACAAGGGTACAAAACCAGGTGCTACATGACACCCTTGCACCAATCTGCCGCCAGAACCGCTACCCATTGACGATGGAAAATTCCCACTTGGAAAACGTTGATTGAATAACCAGTCAATTGTAGGCTTGATAAAGTTGCGTATTTCAATAATACTTTTGTATAGGCGAGCCTGAAACAAACAGTATAAAAAATTATTTCCAGTACAGGCGAACGTCGAATCGTTGATAGAAGTCCGTCTGTACGTCTATTTTATGTTAGATCGGTGGTGGATTTGACGCTCCAAAAAGAAGAGAGCAGAAGTCAGCATTGTCAATGCTGAATGCATGTGTTGCACAATCAACAACCGCCTAAAATGAGACACTAGCGTCCAATTACCAATACCAGTATGGGCTATTATCTCGCTTAACAAACATAGGTAGTTACAACAGATATAACATTACGTGTAAACACAATTACGTGCAACATTACGTGTAAACGCAACTTTATCAAGCCTACAATTGACTGGTTATTCAATCAACGTTTTCCAAGTAGGAATTTTCCATCGTCAATGGGTAGCGGTTCTGGCGGCAGATTGGTGCAAGGGTGTCATGTAGCACCTGGTTTTGTACCCTTGTGTACCCTTCAACGGCCAAGTCACACAACATTAACTATAATAATAAAGAAATCGCAGTAAGGAACCTTAGACTTGGCACGACTTTGCCTAGATTTCATTACTTTTTAGAGATAAACAAGCAGCTCCATCGAGACTTGGCTAGTTTTTTACAGAATGTTTTTGGTGGAATTTCACTGCTTTTTGTAGAAACGTGGACACATTGATTTATATTATTAGATTTTCTTATTTGACACATTTTTTTTTCTTTTTAGGTGTAGTTTTTTTATTATTACAATTCTTTCTTTTCTTTTTTTCCGGTTCTAATTCTTGTACAGTAGCAACAGTTTTTCGTATTGCCCATTCGCGTTCATTATTTATACTTTTAGACGGTTTAGATGGTTTAATTTCTGAAAGATCGGCGCGGTATTTACGCCTAAGCCGGTTGTATTCGGTGATTGCTGAAGCTTGAGCTTTTATACTCTTGAAGTCAACATTTATGAGGTGCACCCCATGAAGATTGGTTACTCGTGAAAGCGCCACGTAGGCTTGGCCACAAGTGAATATGGAGGTGCCAATGTCCATGAGGGCATTTTTCAGACTTAGACCTTAGCTCTTGTGAATTGTTAGGGCATACGCCACACAGATTGGGAATTGTTCTCTGTACACGTATGCCCGGGGTATGATCTCAAATTTTGACTTAATAGGCAATAATTCGTGAATCAAATTATTAGCGAATTTGACTACCAATTGTTTAGGCTTTGTTCGGTCTTCCGGGTCCCACCTCACTTTTTGTACAACGCCTATCGATCCATTCACTAAACCTAAACTAACATCAATATTTCTCGTAAGCATTACTTTAGCTCCCTCTTTAATAATTATAGTTTCTTCCAGTCCAGCAGTCATCGACGCATCATCTTCATATTTTTGTAAACACGCCCGAGCTTTCGTTATCATACATTTTGAACAATCCAAGGAATCTTTAGCAACTAACTTCATCTCGGGGTGCGGAATCGCTTTTAACATTGCATCATTTAACTGCATACACATATTTCTAGTCGGTAGTAAACAAACAGTATCTTCTGGTAAGTCCCTCAAACATTGTGCTATTTCCATTAACCTTCCTTTATTGGAATGCGAGAGCAGAGGTATCAATCGGTTAGACAGTATATCTCTGTCTGATTGAGTTGTCACTCCTACTCTGATTCTTTTTAACATTTCTACAAATGTAGAATCATCCAGCTGTCTCATATTCAACGTAAGTTCGTCGTAAGTAAAAAGTTCAGCCCATAAGTTTGGAATACTTAAGGAGCCTATAAGTTTATTAATTTCTGAAGGGGTTAGTTTTTCAAATGGCGACTTTTCTCTAACGGGTGGAAGTTGTAAAAGATCCCCAAGCACTAAAATATGTTTTTTTCCAAACCAACCATCTTCTACATCAGAAGTATCAAACACTTCGCATAAACGAAGATTTATGTAGGCTAAAGTTACATTAGATATCATAGACACTTCATCTATAATAAATAATTCGACAGTTTTTAAGTCTGTCCTTAAAACTTGAAGTACTTCGTCTGAAAGCGGTTTGTATTTAGGAGTTTGTTTATGCTCTACGGGCAGTTGTAGTAATCTGTGAATAGTTAATCCGTTTACGTTAAATGCTGCAATTCCAGTCGGGGCAGTAATAGCAACATTTTTATGCAGGTTGTTTTTAATCCATATTTTTAAGGTTTTTATTAAATAGCTCTTGCCGGTGCCACCGGTGCCACTAACAAAATGTCGCAATATTTCTTTTTTGTTCGTAATTTTATTAGTGACTGTATCAAATACTTTTTTTTGATCAGAATTCAATTTATCTATCATTGCTTGCTCATTCATTTCAGAAATATCCGCTTCAACTAAATCAAAGTTGTTTAAATCTTCCATAGCATTTACCGCTTCCAAAGCTTCAAACACTAAAGGATTGTCGGGGCCTTCATCTACTATGTTTTCCCTTTCTTCGTTTAGTTCTGCTACTTTTTCTTCTACCTTTTCAAAAGCTGTTTGTAAAATATTTCGTAATTCAGTCCGTAAATTTCCGTAGCGTAACGCTTCTTGTAAATCGTCCTTTACAGCATTAAAAGTTTCTGTGTATGTCTCATGTTGCATTTTTAGGTCATCTAGTATTCTCCAAGGTTTAAATAATAACAACAAGGAAAAGAAATATTTTTCTGGCATTTGCTCTACATCATACAGGTAATGGTTAATTAGGTATGGTCTATCTCGTTTTTTTAAGTATTTTTTATTTGCTAAAACATAATACTCTACTTTATTTGAAACAGGCCGTGTATTAACTAAATCATAGTCTTTCGAAAAGTCAAATAGATTCATGTCTTTTAATTCGTCAGGTCTGGCAGGGTAAACGTTGTCTATCCAAGAATCGTAATATATGTCAGTGGAATTCGGGTCCAGTCCAGTCATTTCAGACTTCGATTTAACCCTGCGATTACGATGAATGTTTACGTCTAACCATCTTATTGTTGTTTGTGGGTCCGTGCCGTAAAGTGGTATTCCCAATAATGTATCGCTGGCTTCTAAAGCTCCGCATTCTCGATTCGCTAATACTCTGAGACCAATATTATATAACCGGCTTCTAAGACTTTTTGTAGAGTTAATATCGTTAAACATGTCGGATGCATGGGTCTTTTCACTTTTAGTAGTATACTTGGTCACATAATAGTTCAAAATGGCTGTTTTCTCTCCAACATATTGAATGTCAATATTTCCATTCCACGCCAACAGCAAAGCGGGATTGTAGTCATTAATCATATCTGACTCCTTCGAGCGGACAATATTGTAGAGCCGATTATTAGAGCTGAGAGTTTTTCTTGCCGCTATAGTTTGAAAAATGTCTCTTATGATAAGAGAATCCGTCACAGTTCGAGGAAATCCAAAACGGCAAACTGAAACGAATCCTTTTTTCGTTTTCTTTCTCCTCATGCAATAACTGTTATGTTTATGCATTTGATACGAAGTGACCCGTTGATGTAAAGTAGGAGAAATATCTTTTTTTGGAATGGCACATGTCACGTATTTAGAAATAAATGACGCTACCTCGTCTATAGATGACTTATGTAGAATAGGTGCATCCTTAACCCATAACATTAAATGGAAGTGCTGAGCACCCCTAGATTGGTACTCTCGACGCCAAAAGTAATGAATAATCTTACCTAAAGGCTCATCTGAACTAGTTATTAAGTCTAACATTGCATGAAACTTGTTATCTATAATACGTGAGGTAGATACGGGGTCAAGAGCAACCAATTCACTGATTGTTTTATTAGCCATTTTAACGCCATTTACTTGCCTGATGTACTCTCCCAAATCCTCCCACATCCACTCAGAGGGACTCATGGTAAGAAACCAAGTTGCTGGACCGTAATTTTGAGTCATACAATTTACATCGTTTCTTGGTTTCTTCCAGAACTGTTCGGTGTTTCTCAGTCGGCCAAATATTGCGGTCAAATCACCTTCCAGCTCATCATTTTTAAGCATTTGGAGATACCGTTCTACCGTAATTTTATCTCTCTGATTAGCACAATTCATTTTATAAAAGATTCCGGAGTTTAATTGGCGCATATTAGCATCATTCAATAAGAAAAATAGATACTGTTGGTTGAGTCTAAATTAAGGATGTTTTGACATAAGCCGGGCTTTAATAAATTCACTAGAAGTTACTTTCTGCTGCCGATTATGAAATTGGCCGTATTTTCCTTCTACATATAAATGTGGAAAACATTTAACGTCGAGGTCTTTATCTCGGGCATCAATCGGTGCTGTGTTTACTTTGAGCATTTGGTAGAGTTCTGAAGCTGGTGCATTTTGTCTCCGTTCATTCAAAGGATATATGGTGTAATGCTCATAATCAGTTTCCTTTTCTCTTGTGATTTGGGTCAACAGTGCTGCTGTACCATCTTCTAAAATGCCTTCTTCAGTATTATCTGGTGTATTTGTAACATTATGTTGAATATTTTCATGTATGTTTATGAGCTGGTTAGGTAAATCTGTTAATTTGATATAAGCATAATGTTTGTTTACATTTTTGAGGTATTGTAATGCTTTGTACACTTTATTAACGTCAACAATGTCTTGCCATATAATATTTGCTTTGTTTGGCGTACTTCGGACTATAATATAAAGTTCTGGGTTTTCAATTATTGCGTCTTCAGGTTTTGGGAGTTTTTTTAGGGTTTCTTCCATCGGAAGTGGTAAATGAAAAGTCCTGCCCTTTACTTTTTTAACCATCTGACGATTGGGTAGACGTTTATTAGCCACAGGATTCATTGTAACAACCACCTGAAACGCTTTAGCGCGTTGGATTAAAATGTTTTCATAGTCGTTCAGCTGAGCTATTTCTGGTGGAACAGTGCTTACGTGCATGTCATTGAGGATACAGACAGCAGGCATTTGGTTAGCACGAATCTTAGCAAGGCATGTGTGGCATATGTACGGACTGTGAGTTATTAGGCTAGAATTATAGTAGTTCAGGAGCTGTTTCCAAACATCTGTTGATATGGGCTTTCTTAATCGTTCTATGGAACTAATATCCCTAGAGTAACAAAGTTTATTGCACGACATACAATCCAGTTTCGGTGTGTCTACACTTTTTTTGGAAAATAATTTAAAAGCAACTTTATTACTTTTTATTATTTCATCTTCCACGATTTCACTATCAGGTGTACGCTCTACAACGGCACTTCCTACCGTCGGTTGCTTTCCTAGCTCCATAAGCTTATCCACATTACCAGTTGCCAAAGAATTGTCAATATCAAGCAATAACTTACAATCGCTGTGTATTTGATAAATCTCTCTGATAATAGTCCGAAGATGTGGGAAATGCGATTTAACGTTATTAATAAAGTTGACATTTTCTTGCAGTTTTCCTGTTTCTACAGACATCGAGTAAATTTGCGGAGTAGTTTGGAGGCTCAATACTTCGAAAATGTTTTTAAATTTTAGTAAGATTCCATCATTTAATACGCACAATGAATCCGAACAAGACCATGTCAGACTTTTGGACATTTTCTTAATATTTGTAAAGGTTTTTGCTTTGCCAGTATCATCAATCTCAATAGGTTTTTCTTTATCTTCATAAACCTTATAAGCTTGTTCAGAATAAAATGGCTCCTGATTACTGCGATGTTCGGATTTACCAAGAAATGCTTCAAATTTGTCTTTAATATCCGTGCTTTCAGGACATATTTTTAACTTCTCTAATGCCGCTACTATTTTTTCTTTTAATTTATTTGCAGTCTTGTTCAAATCTTCTAAAGTTCTTTGCCTATTATGGAGAGTCCACTTAACTATTTTTTCTGATTCTAATCTATCTTTAAGTTTAGTTGTAAGAACTCTAGTGATTGTTTCTATGTTTCCCTTAAACTTTAGTTTGTCAGTAGATCTCTTTCGCGCTAAGTTTTGTCTGTTTACTTCCGGATGTGAAGCACGGTAGCGAGATACTGCAGCCTGATTGACTTCCGGATGTGAAGCACTGTAGCGTGCTACAGCTGCCCGGTTTACTTCAGGGTGTGAAGCACTGTACTGTGCTACAGATGCCCGGTTGGCGCCTGGATGTAAAGAATTATAAAGTTCTACGGTTTCTCGACGTTTTTCAGGGTGTTTTTGTCGGTAACGAGCCGCGGCTTCTCGAAGTTGTTCAGATCGTGACAGTTCGGATACCTTAGGTCTTCCTTTTTTTGTTTTAGTCGGTCTACCGCCTTTTCCCTTATGCTTCATGTTCAATTCACTTTGCGTAGAGTTTAAGTCATATAATGTACATATAGCAGTATCTGATGTTACAGAATTTAATGTTATGGGATGAAAGGGGGAAGAAGATGGAGAGGCATCTCGTATAGGAATGAGTACATCGTAGTGGCCGCTTAAGTAACTACCGGTAAAACGTAAACACTTTTTTTGGCCAGCATCGCCAAAGGAACCTCTTAGTATACCGTTCTCATACACTTCAAAAGTGAAAGGATAGATTTTTCCAGCAGCCATAAGCTCAGAAGCTGAGCCGTAAGTAGTGGGTTTCATCATATCGCTCATGTAGGATTGCGCGCTAGTGTATACGTCACCATCAGCATCACACGTGTACACTTGCATTTCGTCCCAATGGTCAGCAACGTATGCAACTATAGCAGATCTGATACTGCAAGTTGAGTCAGTTCTACCATACACCAAGAAAGATATTGAATGGAAGAGACAAGACCCATCTTTGGGCATACCAACTACTTGGTAGCCACTAAGTTCACCGTCGTCTTTTAATATTATCGACATTTTTTTACGATATTATCTTGCGAATCAAATAAACTCAACGACCTTTAGTATATGGACAACAAATCAGAAATACCGATAATATTTAGACTAAAACAATAAAAACCTATATCTTTAAGACTTCTTTTGTCTTAATACAAAAAAGAAAACTCAAAGAAAATATTACTCGGTATACTCATCTATAAACTATAATCAAAAGGGTTAACTCTTAATTATTAGACAAGTGTCAATATAATGAATTATCAATGAACTTTCTACCAAAGATATTACCTCTACCTAGTATTGAAAAACAACTAAATTAATGATATTTTTAAACGAAACGAAGTAAATATCTAACTGAATAGACTTAACCTATAATACTAGAAAAGTACTTACTTACTATAATATTCGCAAAAACAAAACGTCGGCGCGTTTTAAAATACAGTCAGCGCCATCTAGCGACGTGTACAGGTATCACCGCCACTCTTAGTTCAGTGCATTATATTTTGACCATTAAAATACAGTCAGCGCCATCTAGCGACGTGTGCAGGTATCACCGCCACTCTTAGTTCAATGCATTATATTTTGACCAAATTTTGAGCGAAATGAGTATTTTAGTGTAATTTGTTTATTTAATTTGATTAATGTTCGAATAGAATAAAGTTAATCGTTCGATTATTTTTTCTTGTAAACTTGTAAGTATAAGTATAAAAGCCAGTCTAGTGTCATGCAGAGTTTTCCTTTAATTTTATTTATATGCGTATTAAAAGCAGAAGGGGAGGCATTCGCCCAGCAGTGGGACGCTATAGGCTAGATTAAATTAGAAGATGTGTCCCACTACGCTGGATTTTTGCAATGACAGTAGATTTTTTATGTACTAATGGTAGAAGGGGGCATTACCATATCTCTAATACAGCTGAGACCAGCTGAAGGTTTTTCATCAGATACTTTAGACCTTCAATTTTTGACATCAAATAAAGCGGCCTACCAAGTTAAATATATTTTGCAAGGGCGGTATGTCGATCTCATCTAATAGTTTGGTTGGGCTCTTGTGTTTTCTAATCAGGGTCACCAGGTACTCCAAATCTTCGATTATCCTAGTTTTTATAGTTTTCCCTTTATGTGGCCATTAAACCCTAATTCTGTACCAAATTTCAGCTCTCTGAGTTTATGGGAAGTACTAGTTCTATTCTGATGATCATGAGTGAGTGAGTGTCATAAATGCGAAACTTTGCTTTCGCTTAACTTCGGAACTAAATGACCTACAGACTTGAAATTTTGGATTTTAAGTATGTGATTATAGCTTACTGGATGACGAAAATTTCTGCGTTCTGGTCTTATCCGGAGGTTCTCAAATAGAGGCCTGAAAATGCGGCGAAACGGTTCCAGTAAAGGATGGTACGGCAGTGTTTGCTTCGCGCTCGACTTGGCGGTGGCACTGCCGTGCCCCCCGATAATCAAGAAAGAAAAACATATAGGGAAGTGATAGGGAAAGTATTTACTCTCTCACGGAGCGGTTTGAAGATAATTGCTGTTTTATTCCCAGGAATCCTTCACCTTCAAATATTACTACAGTCCACCTTGTGCTGCTAACACAGCACATATTGAAGAATTAAGGCGCTGGGAACGGGATGACCTCGGAAGACCCGTAATCCCCGCCTGAACCTATTTTAAGAAAAGAAAGCGGCGGACACTCTCGTGTGATACTCCTTTACGGGGTTCACATACGCCTCGTTGACCTCCCGAACCCAACGTAGGCGTCATAGGAGATTCAGGGTCAAGGCATCCGCTGTTGAAAGCTAACCCCACGTTCCTTTTCAATATGACACTTCAAGTGATAACTCTTCTACCATAATGCTTATGCATCATAGACACCTTCTATATTATTGTTTTTGTATCATAGACTTTACTATCATAAGTCCCTTATAAGGACTAGTCATTGTGCAACAGTATTAGCACATCGATATATATATCTATATATATATATATAGCGTGAACTATACAAAAGAAAGAAGAACTTTGATTTAGGAATTCATTCATATCAATAACGTTTGTATGTACAATATACATAATGCTTATGTATATTGTACATACAAACGTTACTGCTTAATAAAATATATTCTATATTTTTTTATAAACAACTAGTCACATTGAACCTATATTAAAAGTGAAAACATTTATTAATTTACAAAGATAAAAGTAAAAAAATGTAAAACAATTATATTTACGTTGTTGGAACAAGACAGTCATTCATTTATGGTAATTCTTATAATAATAATCATTAAGGTATATTTCGGGACTGAGCTAATAGTTATGTAGGTACGAAAAACGATCCTTTTGGTAGCGCTGTGGAAACTATCGATTGTAACTTTGCAATGCTCTTATCGTTCAAATATATTTATTGTGAAAGCAAGTACTAAACATTTTATTCATACATCCATCCATTCGCCGTGTAGTGGCGGATAAGATTATCCACTACCCCATATCTTCCTGTGGGTGTCGTAAAAGTTGGCGACAAAGGGGCAGGCAGGCAGGAGATGGGCAGCAGCACCTTCCTTCTCATAACAGCAAAATTACAATAAAAAATGCGGTTGCCAACCCGCTCACGCAGTGTGGCAACTATGGCAAATACCTCCCAATGATGAGAGTAACAAAAGACGGCCCCCAGTCCCAGGCGGCCCCGCTATTCCTGGCTACGGTGGCGACCATGGTAACGGCGGGGCAGGGGGTGCTAAGAATCTCCGGTGGAGGTTCGGTTGCCACCTAAGACGACTCGACCTGGCAACATACAACACACGCACACTGAGGACTGAGGAGAAGATCGTGGAGCTGGAAGAAGAGACAGACAAGTAACGCTGGCATATTATAGGATAGAGCTTGTTGCTCGAATCCAGCAACAAGCTCTATCATCGGGAGGGCGACCATCTGACCTAAGGAGGTCTCGGATTTATCGTCCATAAGTCTCTCGTTAACAACGTTGTAAAGATTGAGAGTGTGTCGATGAGGGTTGCGTATCTTATACTCAGAATCACCAAGCGGTATTCGTCTGTCCCCCTCGTGCTCTGTTCCAAAATCTGTGGAAACTGTCCATGCGGTAGGAGCTAAATTCTGCAAGAACCACCGCAGAACAACACAAAAACTGTCCGATCACGCTCTTAATCTCATGGGTGTTAGACGGGAGATGAAGCTACAATCTTTAACAGATTTGACAGCATACAGGCAACTGAACAGACAGATCTCCGGCGGGACTTACGCAACTTCAATACAGTTTGTATTGAAGAAGCGATCGAGCGGAACCAAGGCTCCAAAGCCTTTGCCAGAGATCTGTCTGCCAGAAAGAGCCAACTGTCAAAGCTGGATACCGAGTGTGGCAGCATCGCTTCCGGGACACCTGAGATTTTGAGTGAGATTGAGAGGTTCTATGGGCAGCTGTACACGTCATCTTTGGAACCACACGCAAGTGTGAGTAACGATCCAAGAGCGAGTCTTATCCGACACTATTCCGTAGATATCTCGGACGTCGTATCGGAGTCTGAGCGAGATTAGAATGGCTCTACAGCACCTTAAAACCAGCAGGGCCTCAGGTGAGGATGAAATTTTAGCGGAGCTTTTGAAAGCGGGTGGAAAACCGGTACTTGAAGTCCTTCAGAAGCTCTTTAATTCCGTTCTACATGGGCGCACTACTACAGAGGCGTAGAGCAGAAGTGTGGTGGTGTTATTATTTACGAAAGGCGACAACGCTGTTTTGAAGAACTACAGACCGATTTCCATTCGAGCCGCGTCTACGTGCTGTTTTCGAGAGTCATTAGGAATCGTCTCGTGCGCAGCCTTGACGACTTCCAGCCTCCCGAATAAGCCGGATATCTTTTTTTTTATAGAATAAGGGTGACAAACGAGCACACAGTCCACCTGATGGTAAGTGGTTGCTGTGGCCCATAGACATCTACATCTATCTTCGTTTGCGAATAAAAATGCAGATGCGTTGTCAGCCGTGAGGACTAAGATAAAATGCCTATTTTCCAGTAAAATGGGTCTCCGGTTCTCTACACTCACCATACAAAACACAGCAGCATGAAGCTGCTATTTTACACTGGTATTCTGTGAGAGCGTGGTCCTTCCCTGGTCGAGCCTACCTATTCATGCTTCAACTATACTATTAATATAGCTGCAGTATGTCTCTACCACGTCAAAGAAATCTTTTCAGAAAACAACGATACATGTTATTAATATCTTACTACTTGCTACATAAACCTATTTAAATTGTAGGTCAAATAATATGTGTATTTTAAGTATTATTTAATTACACTATTACATAAGTTTTAAAAACATATTTTGAGGTAATTTAAATTTATTAGGAATCTCTTTAATAATCTTTGGTAGGTAATGAACTTACTGTATTATAAAATTAGTTAATTGGTGGTTTTACATTTTTGGAAAAACTACCCATTATATTTCCGGGTGGAAAATAATAAGCAACCACATATACTTCACCATCTTTGGATTTAGCAACTCCTACACCTAGTTCTTTGCTCTCCTCCCATATAACCTGAGAAAAGTGTCCCGACTTAAAATCGTTTGGTTCTCTCCCAAAATCATGCAAATTAATTTCGTTATACCACTTATCTACAGGATCTCGGCCGGAAACCTCAAAATTGGAATCTGAAGACCAAGCATAAAATATATTTTCACCGTATTCGCTCCGATCTCTGTGTTCCACTTGTCCATTTTCAGCGAGTTGTTTGGCCCACTCTTCTGCGTATTTACAAAGTTTCTTGTTAAGCTCTAGTGGTGGAACGCCGTGCCGCTTGCGATATTCGTTGTGTGCTCTTAAAAATTCTTCTTCAAATGTTTCCCCAGATATTGACACCGATCCTAATTTTGTGACTAGCTCTGTTGCTATCCCAGATAAGTTTTTACTGCTTCTTAAATTTTGAGATGGTGGCCTTTTTGAATAATTCCGTTCACTATCAGAGTTATAACTACTCAAACTTGATCTAAATTGCAAGGCCCCCGGGAATAGAACATTTTTCACAAATTTCCCACGGTAGTTACCTGGAGGAAAGTAATTAGCCACAACATACAACTTTCCTGTTTTACTTTTGGCACTTCCTACTCCGGGCTCTCGTGTGTTTTTCCAAATTATCTGTGTGAAAAAAAGGAATGTATCGAAATTTCTAAAAGATATTGAAATTCCTTATATTACATTAAAATAATAATGTAAGCTTTATCCTCGTGTCTCTCTATCTTTTATTTAATTAGTTATTATAGTTTAGTATATCTACATAAAATTATTAAAATATTTCTATTTTCCTTGATATAAAACAGTACTCATCGCTAGAGACTAATATTTTATAAGTAAATGCATGGGTATATATTTTGTTATAACTAGTCACTTACTGCTGCCCATGAAAAACTGCAACACCAGGGGAACCAGGGAAATCGCAGATGCGTTTCCGGCCTTTTGAAAAGGAGTAGGCTCTTTTCTTGAAGGTCCCTAAGTCGTATCGGTCCGGATAAAATCGCTGGTGGTAATCCGTTTCACAAGGAAGTTGTGCGAGGAAGAAAACATCTTCTAAATCGCACAGTGTTCGACCGCCAATCATCCAGATGGTGTGGATGGTATCGGGAGTTATGCCGTGATGTGCGTTCGTGAAATCTGGCGGCTGGAATTAATCCAAAAAAATCCTCAGAGCACTCCCCGTGGTAAATGCGAAAGAAATTGCAATGGGATGCAACATGTCTTAGAAGAGCTAATGAATCCAGCCGATCGAAAAGGACTCGGTCGTTGACGATTCGAGCCGCTCTGCGCTGGATGCGGTAAAGTGCAAGGAGCTGGCACTTGGGAGCTCCAGCCCAGAGATGGGAACAGTATTCCATGTGAGGGCGAACCTGCGCCTTGTAAAGTTGCAGGCGTTGCGCCGACATGAAATACTGTCCCGCTCTGCTGATCACGCCAAGATTTTTAGAGACCAATTTGGCCTTTTTTTCCGAGTGACCACGAAATTGCACGTCACTCGATATGTCGACGCTGAGGATTCCGATACTGACTGAGGCAACAAGGGAAGTGCCTTGAAACTAAGGAGATATGACAAATGGGTTCCTTTTAGCGGTAAACGCCTTTTGATAGAAAAGGTCTGCATATTTTCTGGGACTTTGTTGTAAAAGCTTATACATTGCCTATGAAGGAGTTACTGACTCTTTGGAGTCGAGAAACTAATTTGTGCTTGTTCCTAGTATTTACAGAATGTTCATCACTATTTTTATTTTTATTTTTGTGTACATACATTAAATTCTCGTAAATATATTGAGTAGCCAAAGTTAATTCTATAAATTTTTCTCTAAGGGATTCCTGCGGACCTAGGTTATAAATTACTCTTTTGGCTCTCTTTTTCTAAACAAAGATAGTTTTAATATCAGTCGCATTATCCCATAACAAGATAACATATGATATTATGCCATGGAAATAACTAAAATAAACTAATCTAGCTGTTTCAACATATGTAAGGAATCTAACCTTTTTTACAGCATATACTGCAGAACTAAGTTTGCTAGCTAGTTTAGATACGAGTATATGAGGGCCCCATTAAAGCTTCGCGTCAACTGTATTTCCGTGGAAAACAGTGTTAACAAGGCAAGTTCAACAAGGCCCAGCTCCTCCCCACTTAAAAGCACATTAGTAGTCACGTGATTAACATAAGGTGTAGTGAATTTAATACATTTCATTTTATCACCGTTCAATGCAAATTATTTACGCTCAACCAGTGTACTACTTTTGATATAATATTATACACTTCGGAAATCATCAAATAATTCTATATCATGGTTATTCCCTACCAAGTAAGGTAAGTCTTTATTATAAACTAAGAACACAAAGGGACCAATAACTGAGCCCTGAGAAACCCCCGTAGATACTACCGATGCGGAAGAACTACATACATTAATAACGACTGTTTGCGTTCTATTATTTAGATATGACATAATTAGTTTATGCACTATGTTTATTACACCATAATCATGAAGCTTCCAGATTGATGTCTCATGGGGAACACAGTCGAAACCCTTGGAAAGATCGCAAAATATACCCAAAGTATCTTCTATATTTTCCCATGAACAGAAAATATGTTTGATTGAGCGACCCCTTGTAAATCGGTGCAACGGTGGTAGAGCCACGCGGCAGTTTTTGCTGTTGCACGTATGGGCCGGCTCGAGCCGGGTTGGTACCACGACCTCACAGAATAACAGCGTGAAGTAGAAGCTCTGCTTCTGCGTTTCGTCTGGTGAGTGCAGGTGGCCTGACATGATAGAGGAATTACACGTTAGACTACCCCAGGAGGGTACCAGCACCCTTGGAGAATCCCTCGCTGAGCATCCACGACCATGTTATTCCACTCCTGAGCATGTGTGCTCACGCTGCCCCGCGTATTAGGAGGGGGAGGGGCAAAATTCTGCTCAAAAACATTACTGCTCGGGGTAAACTGAGCAACAAGACCAAGGTGACTCCTACCACGCTATCCGTGAATTTCTGCAACATCAGGGGACTTCACTCGAATCTAAACGCCGTCCATTACCATCTCGAGACGGCGAAGCCGGCCTTGCTCTTTCTGACCGAGACGCAGGTTTCCTCTCCGGCTGATATTTCGTATCTCTCCTACTCGGGGCACAAATTGGAGCACTCCTTTGTGCCTCCGGCTGGAGTTTGCGTGTATGTCGAGAACAGATGTCCTCTCTGGACATCTGTTCTCGACGCCTAGGCAGTCTTGAAGGTTCGGACCTGTCCATCCTTTGGCTACGCGTAGACAGCGACGACCATCCGTGCGTCTACGGATACCTCTATAGGTCCCATAGCGTTAATGCCGAAACAGACCGACTCATCGACCACGTCCATATGGCTACAGATTACTTGCTACAACAGGTCCCATCCGCATAGATCGTGATCCTTGGCGATTTTAACGCTCACCACGCCTAATGGCTCGCTTCACGTTTAACCGATTATGCGGGGAGATCTGTTTATGACTTTGCCTTGGCATATGGTCTAACACAACTGGTTACTTTGATTGCAGATGTGGAGGATCATACACCTTCCCTGTTGGACCTTCTGCTGACCTCTCATCCGGACGGATATCAGGTTTCCGTCGATGCCCCTCTCGGCTCTTCGGACCATTGTCTGATCCGGAGTGTGGTGCCACTCACGCTCCCCTCGCGGTTGTGTTCTGCAGGTTGCCGCCGTGTTTGGCGTTACAGGTCGGCGGATTGGGACGGAATGCGGTCTTTCTTTGCATCCTACCCATGGGGCGGGTTTGCTTCTCGCCGGATGATCCCAGCGCCTTGCTGACTCTGTTACTGATGTGGTGCTACAGGAAATGGAACTATTTATTCCATCCGCCGCCAATACGGTTTTCGTCGGGGTCGATCAGCTGGTGATCTTCTGGTCGACCTGACCAATAGATGGGCGGAGGCAGTAGAGTCCAAGGGGGAGGCGTTGGCCGTTAGTTTAGACATTGCGAAGGCCTGTAATCGGGTTTGGCACAAATTTGGTTTCCCGAGAAATTGTGCAATTGGATCACCAGCTTCCTTGCAGATCGCAGAATCGACTTCGTTGTAGACGGTGCATGCTCCGACTACAAGACTATTAACGCTGGTGTTCCACAAGGCTGTTTGCTATCACAAACGCTGTTTCTTCTGCATATCAATAATATGTTGCTAACTGGTAACATTCATTGCTATGCGGATGACAGCACTGGTGATGCTTTATACATCGGCCGTGCCAATATTTCTCGGGAAAACGTCGCTGAATACCGGAATAAAGTTGTGTGTGAAGTCGAGTCTTTGCTGAACAAAGTCTCGAATTGGGGGCGACTAAATTTAGTCCAGTTTGATCCTCAGATGACACAAGTTTGCACGTTCACCGCTAAAAAGAACCCCTTTATCGTAGCTCCTCAGTTTCTAGGCACTCCCCTTCTTGCCTCAGCCAGTATCGGAATCCTCGGAGTCGATATATCAAGTGACGTGTAGTTTCGTGGTCACTTGGAAGAGAAGGCCAAATTGGCCTCTAAAAAGCTTAGAAAAAGCTTGGTGTGCTCAGCAGAGCGGGACAGTATTTCATGCTGGCACACCGCCTGCAACTTTACAAGGCGCAGGTTCGGCCTCACATGGAATACTGTTCCCATCTCTGGGCAGGGGCTCCCCAGTGCCAGGTCCTTCCCCTTGACCGCATCCAGCGCAGAGCGGCTCGAATTGTCGACGACCGAGTCCTTTTCGATCGGCTCGATTCATTGGCACTGCGAAGAGATGTTGCATCCCTTTGCATTTTCTTTCGCATCTACCACAGGGAGTGCTCTGAGGATTTTTTCGGATTAATCCCAGCCGCCAAATTTCACGAACGCACATCGCGGCAGAACTCCCGATACAATCCACACTTACTCGCACGACTTCATTGTGGAATCGATTACCATCAGCACTTTTTTCGGACCGATATTACTTAGGGACCTTCAAGAAAAGAGCCTACTCCTTTTTAAAAGGCCGGCAACGCATCTGCAATTCCCCTGGTGTTGCGGTTTGTTACGGCCCACAGCTGCCCCTGCAAAGGTCGCCTTGGCTAGGGCCCATAGTAGCCTCTTCGACGGTCAGCAGACAGGTCAGGGTACGAGCCCAAATCACCTTATGGAATAATGACCTATCATACTACAAAACAAGGAGAATGCTAGGAAAATAAATGGTACGTATGTGCATCCCAATCTCAGACCGCCCCAAGACTCGGTCAGAATGTAGGTAGAGTATATGCATGTAAAGTGGTGTTTAGTGGTGTGTATATGAGAGTGACCTGGCCCAGCTGAGGTGACCTGGCAGCGCGACGGTTTCCATGCTGCCCCACAATGCTGCATCGCTCTAAACTTTATTGTACATTTAACTAACTCCAACTCGACTAATTCAACATTCATCGTAGAATCGAACACGTGATACCCGACACAGTAACGGATAGTAGTTCAAAATTCAACATTCAATGTCCCGGATTCATTTATCACCAAAATTACAAATAGGGAACTAACGTGATCTCTTCATAAGTCACACGGTTCAGCGTTAAACACAACTAAGTTCCTTCGTTCGATATTAAACACCACGCCGCAATAAAAATTCAAAATTAACCTAGCTGACACGTAAACTAGCTACCGAATCAACACACAAAAGGCTCTTAACGCGACGGTATAATTAAACGATGATTTGCAAACAATCAACAGAGAGACGCCCTCGATAAAGGATTCGCGGTCAAATTCCACGTCCCCGAGCAAGTTAGATATTGTAAAATGCACTTCAAAGCGCCATCACTATATAATTGGAGCATTTGCTTTCCAACTAAATTACTTTAATCAGTCAAATATAATACAAGCCTCTTGTCAAGAACTTAAAACCTAGACAAACTAAACGGAGGTGGTTTTCACGAAATCACAATTACGTAGCGAAGTAACACGCACTAAATCTAACAATCTAGACCACACACCGGTCGCGCGAAACTTCTGCAGCGATAACCGAGATACGCGGATTATCCGTACCGCTGCCAGCGAGCTACTTCTGAATCGACAGACTCCCGCAACTCCCGCCGACCGCCCACTCGTCTAACCGGTTATGAACGCGCCGTAACGAGCCGAGCGCCTTCTCGCGTCAAATCTTGAAACCAGCGTTTGGGCGCGAACACAGTTGTTCATGGGTGGCCGTAGACACTTACCATCAGGTGAGCCGCATGCTCGTTTGCCCCCTCTCTTATAAAAAAAATCAAAACTGATTGTTATAGAGTAATTTATTTACATCAAAAAAAAATTAACATTTGATCTAAAATAATTTTTTCAAAATTTTTACTAAGCGTCGGTAGTGCAGAAATAAGTCTAAAATTAGTAGGATCCAATGTACTGCCAGGTTTAATTAAATTCATAACTTTACTATGTTTAATTAATTCAGGAAATACACCAGATTCGTTATTAGCATTTAAAATAATGGCAAGTTGGGTTGCGATCGCATCTATTATAGACGCAATAACTTTAACAGAAATCACCCATAGATCTGCTGGTTTCTTAATATCTATAGTTTTGAAATATTTTACAATGTCACGTGATTTTGCCCTAATGACCATTCCAATTTTATATACGTTCTGTAATATTTGGGCTATCCTTTCGGATAAATTTTCTATAACAAGTAGCTCTTCAGAGCTTCTTTCTTCAACGTGCTGGTGCATTACGAACATCTGGATGCTTGGGGGTACCAGCATTGTGCGATATACTATTAATAATAGTGTACCACCGGCGATTTTTCCGGACCGATACTACTAAGGAACGTTCAAGGAAAGAGCTTACTCATTTCTAAAAGGCCGGCGACGCACTTAGTGTTGTTCGTGGGCGGGTATTCACTTTTTTATTAGGATAGGGGTGACATACACAGTCCACCCGATGGTAAGTGGATGCTGCGGCCGATTAACGTCTACATTTATCTTCGATTAATAATCAAAATGCAGATGCGTTGTCACCCGTGAGGACTACGATGGAATGCCTCGTTTCCAGTAGAAAAGGTCTCCGGTTCTCTATATTCACCAGACGAAACACAGCAGTGTTAGGGGATAAACGAGGATAAACCAAACGAGGATAGATGTAGATGTCTATGGGCCACAGCAACCACTTACCATCAGGTGGACTGTATGCTCGTTTGTCACCCTGTCATATAACAAAATATTAATCCACACCACTTTGCAAACTTTTGCAGTATTGGACTATAAAGTATAATATACCATTTTCAGCTATACACGAAACTGTTCAAAATTGAAATGAAATTTTCTGTAAAGGTGTTTGTACTCTACCAGTAAATGAAAAATACCAAAACCGCTTAATCTATCTTGGAGATTTATGGTTAATACGCATTAAAATATAATCTATTAGTTCTACTAACTACTAGATCTCCACTGGTTGACTATTATTGAAAGGCGATCTTGACCATTAACTGAAGGCCGCTGGCTAGCTTATTATTTTTAAATTCTTTAAAAATATGTTAGTCTAACTTACTCCATTAGAAGAATCGAAGGAATCTGTGCTGAAAGGATGAAATAACAAGATAAGCGTACAACCTTAAAAAAAACTTTTCTTATTGTGACGCCTCATAATTATTATGAATAAATAATAATTAAATTCATTATACAGACATTTAAAAATATCATAGAAATTATAATTTAAACAATTAAATGCAAATAATAAGCATAAAGTTCAAAAAATATCCATTTGGAATATTGAATATTATAATATTAGTAAACGCATAAAATGTCTCTAAAAATCTCTAAATTTATTAAAAACCTGCTTATATGTTCAAAATGTATCAAATCATATAAATACAAGGCGATTATATTGCAATAACAAAGATAAATAACATTTGTAATATAATAGAAAAAATGGATCAAAATTTTCCAAGTTGATGAAAGTGTTCTTGTAATAATTGGAAAATTTCTAAGTTGATGAACGTGTTCTTGTAATGTTCCCTTATATTGGGGCGTTACCGGAGACACATGCCCAAGGTTGTACATATATATGGGGTGGTCAGCTGACCGACTGCTAGTACTAAGGTTGCACAATAAATAGTCCTATATTAGGGACTTATCATAGTAAGGTCTAACGAACCAAAGCATTAATATAGAAGGTCTCTATGATGCATAAGCATTATGATAGCAGAGTTATGACTTGAAGTCCCATATGAATAAGACATAAAATAGTATGGTCTATGAAATAAAGCAAATATGTGGAAGGTCTCAAATATGTAAAAGCATTATATTGAAAGAAATGGGACTTGAAAAGGATTATTATAGTGGCGTGTAGGTTGCTTCGCAGCCTCTGAGACCGAGGTAAACTTGGACTCACTAACCGATGTGTCCTAGACATATCATCTTAGTGCCGGTGGCAAGCGGGTTTGTTGTAGCAATACGACTTGTCCGTGGACATCGCACACCCACCCCTACCGTTTGTGGGCGGCGTCTTAGCGCATAGCGTTATGATACGTCGGCTATCTTTCGGATTAGGGTGAGTGTGTTTTGGTAGTACTTTAAGTGCAGCAAGCATACTCAACTTCATGTCTTAGTGCAATAGCGCTATGATACGTGGAGTTTTGGCTACTGACGTCTTAGTACCGTACTACTATGATACGTTGGTGGTATTTTTAGTTAACAACATTATCAATTTTGTTACCAAAGTCGATAGGGATCATGTGGGTGTGTTGTGAGGGGGCGCCATCCGTATAATAGTTGCATTGATGCTTACTACTACTTGCAGTATTGTGTCTTGTGATGGATCTGCGGGTGTGCTGCACCTGAGTTGACGCTTCTTGTGGTTCTGGTCGATGTATGTATAGGTATGCGGATGGTGATGTCTGCTGGGACTGTATGGGGGACCTTGGAATGGTGTAAGCCCCACGATAGTCGTACTGATGCTTGTTGCATTCTGTAGTATTGCGTCTCTACGATGGTTGTTTGGCGGGTCGCTATTCTCAATGGCGCTCTCTGCGTCTTGGTTTGACTCACAACCTAAGTAGCTTTGCCCAAGTCAGGTCCCTTCATTGCGGGGCTGCAGACTGTCTGTCCTCCATGATGTTTTATATAACAACTTAATAATATATCTCTATAAAGTTCCCACCTTTGAGAGATTGAAGGCAACTTGTTTGTGGGTGAGACAAACATGATTGAAAAATGCATATACTCAACGTCAGTGACACAAACCCTTTCTGATGGCGAATTATTAATATTATCTTATAACTGCCTATTGGCTATATCTGCCATTGTATTGGTTGGTGGAGCATATGTGTCGACCTCATGCGGGTGGTAGCTGGAGGGAGAATCTGAGGAGGCTCTCAAGGCTGCGGCCGAAAGCCGCGCAACGTGGGACCCCATTCCCTTGACGTGAGCGGTAGACTCATGACACGCTCTGCGGCCAATTGGCCGTGCTGACCGTGCAATTGATGGTGATGCTTTACACTTACATCACGTCTGCAGAAACGGCGGTCTGGCAGGTGGTGGCGCTCACGGAGGGCTTTTTATGGTCAGTGTGCCTATTGTTGCCTAACCCGTGTGACGCACCTTCACTGTGGCTGGATTTGATCGTAATTCTGTATGGCGTTTACACGCATTGACATGCGCGACTTCGGTCGATGTTTGTGCTTACGCACTATCAAGGGGCCAAGTCCTCTTTTACTGGTTCGCCAGCTATTTTGCTGTGAACTACGGTCCAGTTCCCAACTTGGCGTAGCCTTCGGGGGGAGCGCATTAAAATGGTTGGCGCTCACCGTGCGTGGCGTGTGCGAAGCCGTGTACTTCCTCCACATTTTTTTAAAATGTGGGAGAGCCCTTGTAGCTGGTATTTGATATAAATATTGTGAGCCTTTTCCAAGCGGGAAGGGATAAATTAATAAGGAATTGACTGTTGTGAACCAGATACAAGTGGAATAGGGACAATTTATTGTTTTTAACCTTTTTGAGCTCTGTCTTCGTGAACAGGGTTCTTTAGCTTATACGACTCTACCAACAGCTTTTGATTGCTCCCATGAATATTCATTCTTCCAAGATACACCTAAAAGAACTAAGTTACTATACAAACACTAGGTAAAAAAGGGTCCTAACTAAGACGATCACGCCATAAATTTACTAAACGGCCTATATTTAAACCATTTTTTTTTATAGGAGAGGGGGCAAACGAGCATGCGGCTCACCTGATGGTAAGTGACTACCGCCACCCATGAACAACTGCAACACCAGGGGAATCGCAGATGCGTTGCCGGCCTTTTAAAAAGGAGTACGCTCTTTTCTTGAAGGTCCCTAAGTCGTATCGGTCCGGAAAAATCGCTGATGGTAATCGATTCCACAAGGAGGTCGTGCGAGGAAGAAAACATCTTCTAAATCGCACAGTGGTGGACCGCCAATCATCCAGATGGTGTGGATGGTATCGGGAGTTCTGCCGCGATGTGCGTTCGTGAAATTTGGCGGCTGGGATTAATCCGAACAATTCCTCAGAGCACTCCCCATGGTAGATGCGAAAGAAAATGCAAAGGGATGCAACATCTCTTCGCAGTGCCAATGAATCGAGCCGATCGGAAAGGGCTCGGTCGTCGACAATTCGAGCCGCTCTGCGTTGGATGCGGTCAAGTGGAAGGAGCTGGCACTGGGGAGCCCCTGCCCAGAGATGGGAACAGTATTCCATGTGAGGCCGAATTTGCGCCTTGTAAAGTAGCAGGCGATGTGCCGGCATGAAATACTGTCCCGCTCTGCTGAGCACGCCAAGCTTTTTAGAGGCCAATTTGGCCTTCCCTTCCAAGTGACCACGAAACTGCACGTCACTCGATATGTCGACTCCGAGGATACCGATACTGGCTGAGGCAAGAAGGGGAGTGCCTTGAAACTGAGGAGATACGACAAAGGGGTTCTTTTTAGCGGTAAACGCGCAAACTTGTGTCTTCTGAGGATTAAATTGGACTAGATTTAGTCGCCCCCAATCCGAGACTTTGTTCAGCAAAGACTTGACTTCAGACACAAGTTTGTTCCGGTACTCAGCGACGTTTTCCCGAGAAATATTGGCACGGCCGGTGTATAGAGCATCACCAGTGCTGTCATCCGCATAGCAATGAATGTTACCAGTTAGCAACATATCATTGATATGCAGAAGAAACAGCGTTGGTGATAGCACACAGCCTTGTGGAACACCAGCGTTAATAGGCATGTAGTCAGAGCATGCACCGTCTACAACGACCTTGATGCTCCGATCTGCAAGGAAGCTGGTGATCCAATTGCACAATTTCTCGGGAAGCCCATAGGAAGGGAGCTTCGAAAGAAGCGCTTTGTGCCAAACCCGATCGAAGGCCTTCGCAATGTCCAAACTAACGGCCAATGCCTCCCCCTTGGACTCTACTGCCTCCGCCCATCTATGAGTTAAGTAGACCAGAAGATCACCAGCTGATCGACCCCGACGAAAACCGTATTGGCGGTCACTAATCAGCTGGTGATCCTCAAGGTACCGGATGAGCTGGCAGTTAATAATGGATTCCATCATTTTGGAGAACAAGGAGGTGATCGCGATAGGCCTATAGTTGGATGGGTCTGAGCGGTCGCCTTTTTTAGGGATCGGGTGGACAAAAGCTGTCTTCCATGAATTCGGGACTACGCCTTGGGAGTAGGAGTACCGGAAAAGACGCGTTAGGACCGGTGCCAACTCCGGAGCACACGTCCTCAGCACAATTGGGGGGATTCCGTCAGGCCCACTCGACTTCTAGATGTCCAGGGAGAGCAGTGCTTTGCGAACCAAGCGCTGTGAGAACAGCACATCCGGCATGGAGCACTCACACCGCGGGATGGTCGGCGGTGTTTTCCCCCCGTCATCAAGAGTCGAACTGGACGCAAAAAGGGAGCCTAAAAGGTCGGCTTTGTCTTTTGCGTCATGGGCCAGTGAGTCATCCTCCCTGTGCAGAGATGGAAGTGATGGCTTACAGAAATTCCCTTGGACAGCCTTGGCGAGAGACCAGAATGCACGGGTTCCCGAAGGAAGGCGAACTAGTTTCTCGCCAATTCTGCCTATGTCCTCTGACTTTGCCTTGGCAATAACTCTTTTGAAGGACCTGGAGGCGAAGTTATACTTCTTTTTAAGTGTGCTGGTATTTACATCCCGAGTCGCCGAAGCCGCAGCCCAGGCTTGATAACACTCCTGCTTACTGCGTAATGCAGTCTTACAGGAGCGACCAAACCAAGGCTGAGATCTGCCTCCGATGGGTACCACAGATGATGGAATAAATAGTTCCATTCCCTGTAGCACCACATCAGTGACAGAGTCAGCAACAGCGCTGGGATCATCCGGCGAGAAGCAAACCCGCCCCCATGGGTAGGATGCAAAGAAAGACCGCATTCCGCCCCAATCCGCCGACCTGTAATGCCAAACACGGCGGCAACCTGCAGAACGCAACCGCGAAGGGAGCGTGAGTAGCACCACACTCCGGATCAGACAATGGTCCGAAGAGCCGAGAGGGGCATCGACGGAAACCTGATATCCG